CATTTTAAAATAGCTGTGCAGAATTAAAGCTCACTGGGAAAAATATGTCGGATCCTTGCATCCTCTGTTCTATTTACTCTTCCTTGAACAGCATTACTGTCTCAAGGGAGTTTGCAAATTAAATACAACTTCTGGCAGTGATTTGTCAGGGCTTTAAGGGGTGATGCTGGCAAATTACTACTGCTGTTCCTTGCAGAAGATGGTGGTTGTGAGTGTCACCCCTTTAAATCACTTCTTTTCATACAATCTGAGAAGACAGCCTGTCAATGCAAGATCACTCTCTGCAAAGCATTTTGCTCATTTTTGTCCACTCATCAAGCCATTTAAAAGCTTTCTTGTTCATCCCTACAGAAGAGATGGTAAGGTGTATTAATCTCTATTTGAGCCTTCATCCTCCTTACTGTGGAGCACTGTGTGCAGAGCAGATTCACAGTTCAGAACGCCTCCCCTGTCAGCCCATCCATCATCAGGTGAAGCTTGGTTTCAACCTTCCTTTTAATTTCTCTGGTCCAATTTGTGTTTGGCTTGGAACCTCTGTCTAGACCAATGCAAGCTACATGTGAAGCAGATTACACATGCAGTCTGTGTGTATTCAAAATGTGCAGGCTGCACGCATGCTTTCAGGGGATTTGGTGGAGGGTGTAGTACAGGTACATGCTAATTTGTGAATACAGAAACACAGTTAACTCCTTTGATGGAAGTATATAGGTAAAAGGGGTATTGTGATGATTTGCAAACTTAAATAACAGTCTGCCTCAGGAGATGGTCTATATGTGAGGAGATTTAGGTTCTGTCCTATAGACAAGTGTATTTGTCTTCTTCCTTTTCTCTGTTGTCACTGTAAATAGATTGTAAATTACAATAGCTATTTTCATGGTGATGGCGATATTGGTTAAATCTGTGAATGAAGTTCTCTAGCAGCATGTTTCATGTGTTGCTGTACATATCCTATCTATTGTATCCATGTCTGGTTTGGGTAGACATAACTTCTTCATTTCTTCGTGGATCTTTTTTAAGTGGTGCAGCGGGAAAGGTAGGTGGGGAGAGAGAGATGTACCTATGGTTGCAGTACAGCACAGCCAGTCCTTGGTATGAGGCTCTGTTCTGCTAGACTGGTTTCTGACAGCTCAGCTGTGATGCTGACTACCTTACCATTTTTATAATAGAAATCAGGTATCACAGGTTAAGTATCATCTTTTCAAAGTGTCACCTTTACATTTCCTCCTTATCTCTACAAACCTATTCCTATGCTTGTAGGGTTGAATTTGATCTTAAGCAATACTGGCTTCTCTGTCTTCATGTTAAATAGGTCTTAGTTGGAGGTGCCTTCATTTCATTTCTCTATATTGAACACAGCAGTTTTCCCTGGTCCCTCCTCTGAAATACCATTGGTTTTTCACAGTCCCTGAAGTGAAGAGCCTTCATTTCTGAGCATGGGAGTTAGATACAGATTGGCAGCTGAAATGACCCCTTTCTCCTTTCTTGTAGGCAGCTTGTCCCTGGGGGCTCTGCAGCACAGCACCTGAGCTGTGACTGCTTCATCCCCAGAGACTTGGTGCTCATAGCAATGCCCCTCCTGTGAAGAGTAAATGAAACGTGCCAGTAGTCCATGCTCTTGGTCCTACAGGCAAAAAAAATAAAGGGGAGAAAGCATTCTGGGGGGCAGGGAGGACTGCAACAACATGTAGTTTGGCAGCAGTGCTGATGGAAGGGCAGGGACCAGCCTGGAGGGCTTCATTTCATGTGCTGCACACGGGCAAAGGTAATAGAAGTTCAGCTCAAAAGCCCCAAACCAAGGGACAACAGCAATCAGGTGTTTGCTCATGTGAGTACAGCCTTCCTCACTGCTTCAGCAGCATCAGTGCTGAGGTGTGAATAAGGCAGCAGCCGGCAGCAGCTCCATCCCAGCAGGGCCAGGAGAGGCACCCACGTGGGATTGCAGAAACCCAAAGGAAGCGGTGTGGCCACGGGGGAGGTCTTTCACCCCCCTTAATTCCCTTTTAGTGACAGAAGGGAGAGGCAGAGTAGTGTAAAATGCAGTCTGCTGATGACGGGAGGGAATGGTTATTGCAATATCGAAGAGTTATTTTGGGAAAATTCTACGTGGCCCAGTAAAGAAAAGGCTTTAAAAGATTTAGCTGCTTAATCCTGCGTATCTGCTGTTAGATCTTCACCAAATCTCCTGGGGAGATTCAGAGCAGCATCTAAATGCACAGACCTCACCCAGCGCCCCAGCAGCTCCTCTTTCTAGTTTAGAGGCTGGGGAAGAGGGAACGCACAGCTTGCTGCATGTGTAATTGCTCCACTTAATGAGCAACAGGTTTTTTTCCGTAAGTGTCCAATGATCTTTACATTTGTATATATAGTTCTGATTAATAATCCGGAGAATAGTCTGTGCCTTCTCTCAGGTGGAGAACAGGGCTAGAATTAACTGAAAACGCTTTAATGATGGTGTATTTCTGTGGATTTCATTCTGCTTTTGCCTTCGGTGGGACGTGCTCCCTCAAACGATGCTTCTGGCAATTCTTACATTTTCCAGTAACTGCAGAAGTGCCAGGTCGAGAGGGATCCAAACTTTGTCTAGAATTCAGAAAATAGTGTATAAATTGGAGCGGAAAAATAGGATGTAGGTAATATTTGATCTCTAACTTAACTTTCCAATGTATTACTGGCTTTCTGTCATGTGAAATGTAAGCGTTGTACTAACTCACAGTACATGGAAGGTCTCCAGAGCCAGGTAGCTAAAGTCACTTTTACTGTGTTTGAGGGGCTATTCTTTGTGCTGCATTTCTACTTGTTGAGATTATTAAATTGTAAGGGTTTATTTCTCCCATTTCAGTCATGCAATAAGGCATTGAGTATTGCTTCTGAAAAAAATAAGTGGTGACTTATTAAACTCACAGGCTGTATATTCTTAAGACTTCTGAGGAGGTGCAAAGACACTTATGTCAGTAATGTATTTCTCTGAGAAGGGATCAGCATTTGCTGTGCAGACACCTATTGGGCTGTTTTGTTTAGTTACCAGAGACTTGAGGCTACATCACTTTGAAAATATATTTCTTGTCATGTGGGATAGTGAGGTGCTGAAACACAGTAACACGCAGACCCAGATGTTTGTTTCTTACTTTGTACTTGTTGGTGCTATTTGGGAGGTAGGAAGTGACTTAGATTTGGCTATAAACACTGTAGATCCTGTGACTTTTTTCCCTTATTATCTGTGTGGTTAGCCAAAATCTGGTCTTCAACTGACCCACTGGTGGAATCGGTGGAGATGGTTAGGTACATATACGCAGTCCTTCTCTCTGGAAAGAGGAGGGTTTGTTCTCCAGGGGTTACATCCCTGCTCTTCTCTTGGATCAGTTTCTCCTCCCTGTGCATCCCCAGCCACTTGCTGGACATGTCAGGACCCTAGTCCAGCTTTGTGCAAGGGTTTCCTCCTCCAGGTGTGCATCTGTTTACATGTCACCAGCTGAAAATCCTTGCCCGCATAATTCAGATCCCACATCCTATTTGTATGTGCTCCTGTTTGGGGTGCATACAGAAATAGGTGGGTTTGGGATCCAAAGGCTGCTGCTGTCCTCTCCAATACCACCTGTGTGGAGAAGATCACCAAGCAGACAGTTCTGTCTTTGATGTGGGTATCTCTAGGTTTCCTTCTGTATAGATGTATCAAAGGAAGAGAACCCAAATCCCAGGGGCTCTGCCTGTTGATCACAGGTCCTGTAGAAGAAGCCATCTGAGAGCAGTTGCTTATTCATACATCCTGGCAGGCACTGGAGCTGGATGCTGCTCTAGGCAGGCTTTGTGTTCTGCTTCGCCTTGGTTTTGCTCTTTTAATTCTGAGTGCAGGAGAGAGGCAGCTGACTGCATGAAGCAGCTGAAAGGATATATGCTTGGAGGCTTTTTTTTATCTCTATTTGAAAGATATTTTTAATTTTAATAAATGCAACCACAGTAATTAAGTAATCTCATTCTGAAGATACAGCCTTCCTGTCCATTAAGATACTTATTCTTAATGCTCGATAGGTTGCTTTTTACAGTGTTATTTCAGCTTTCTTTTATAAATAATGTATTAACTTCTTTATTCTCTGCATTAGTTGAGCATTTTTGCTTTCAAGGATTTGACAGAAGGCTGTGGTATCCTTAGGAACCCTACAGTCAGACTAGAAAGTCCTTGGGACAGAATTACCTTGTTTTGGCATAAAGAACTTTGGACACTTGGAAGCTTGGGCACTTGCAGCCTTAAGGTTGCTTAGTTTCAAACTTGTGGCCTGAAAGTGGCTATTTTCAGGCAACAGCTTCAGATGAGGGAAAAATTCAATTGGACATACATGAATATGTAGAAAAAAATAAAGGCTTTCTGTGGTATTTTGAAGCTCTATGTAATAAAGATATGGTGGAGATAGCAACGTGATTAATCCCAGGAACATCAACATTGTTTATGGTCTTTAGACATAGGTGCATCCAGTATCACAGTAGTTCTCATTGCAATAAGAATTTGCTCTGAAATTATTCCTGGGAGGACCACAGGAAGTGGAGAAAGGAGAAGTACCACCTCCCAAAAAGTGGGAAATCTTAGAGGTTGCTAAAGTTGTTTTATTTTGTTTGTTCCTACAGGCACCATTTTTATCAGACTTCAGCAAGCACAGCAAACAATGGTGGTGTTGGATAACCAAATATAACCAGTTGCATAGTGGTGGCATCAGTGTTGTGACATGACCTGCATTTGGGTAGCACAGGAGCTCTCACTGGAGACCCTGGCAGGCAGCAGGCATGTTTCCAGCAGGGCTTTTGTCCCTTGGGTGTGTGCTGGCCTGTCACCAGCCAGGCAGTTTCCCACTGGGAGATCGGATGCCAGCTTGCACCTGCATCTACTGCAGGTCCAAGTTTGTGCTTTCACTTCTCCTGCTGCAATCACATGTCCTCCGGCTCCTGACCCAGGCTTTCCCTCCTGATACGTCTTCCTCTCACACATGTCTTGTCTCTCTCTGACTTGGCAGCCGCTGGGCCAGTCGCAGCACCACCACGCAGCGGAGGAAGGACCGCTTGCGGCAGCACTCGGAGCATATTGGGCTGGACAACGATTTGAGGGAGGTAGGTGGCATCTTCTGCGAGTGGCACGAGCTTGGGAGCGAGGAGGTGAGGTTTAGAGTAATTATGTGTTATTGCTTTGGGCAGTTTTGTGGCAGTCCTAAGGTTTGTATGGGTCTTTGTAGCCATTTAGATGCCACTTGTCGCAGATGCTTGTGGATGTTATGCAATTTCAAAGCACATAACATAAATAAAATGCTGTTATGATTTTGTAATAAGGCAGTCCCTTTGTTATCATGAAAATGGCTCAGTCGCTGATTTGGTTGTGTTACTGCATGTTACTAGATGCAGCTGCGGGGTTCTCGCTAGGGTGAAGGTCTCTGGAAAAATCAAGTCCTTGAATAAATGTCAGTGCTGTGAAGGCGAATGAGGCAGGGCTTCTTTTTTTAAAGGAATCTTTTTCTCTGTCTTTCTCACAAAGATTCCTGACATGAGTAAGCCTGTTTGAAAGGTTAGGACTTTGGGGCTTTTTACGCCTAAAGCTTGGAAACTGCCATGCATCTTGTAAATGTCATTCACATGAACTCATTTCCTTCCCATCTTTTCAGTTTCTTCTCCATCATTAAATATTTTCTGCCATATTATTCCATTTGATGTCCATGTGCTTCTTCTGTATGGCACTAGCAAAAATAAAGCATTCATGCTGTTTTGTGGTAAATCTTGTTGCATTATGTTGGCCAGTGTTGGCATTTGCCTTCTGAAAGAACCCTAATGGGTATGTGGACTCTTGAACCACAGCTTCGAATGATGTTTCATGGAAACTCAGCAAAACAGCAGTTGTATGTTTGTTGCTATTTTTGCTAACATGGCTTTGCAAGTGTATTTTGAACATTGCCTTATGTGTTATATGTCAGAAGAGCCTTTTCAGTATTTTGTCATGTATTTACTTTCTTCTTTTTTTGGCTGTGGATCATATGCATGCCTCTTCTGCTTTGTCTCTTCTTTCTTTCTGGCTATTCTGCCATTGGGGCATCTGCCTCCTCTTAGCCATCGGAGGAGCTTTTGCTTCGTCAGAACTCAATGGCCTTCTGGGAGTGGGATCAGGGACCACCCCCTCCTGCACGGCCTCCTAAAAAATCCTTCTCTGAGTGCTGCCTGGTATGTTTTAGTTTTTCTTGTTGAAAGCTGCTTTTGAGATGTTGTTAGCATGAGGAACTGCTGTCTTCACTGTGTCTTGAACCGCTCCCTCTCTCACAGAATATGAGCACGTCCCTGTAGCACTTGGAAGTGTGGTTATAATCGGAAAAGTAGCTGGAAATGAGCTCTAGGCTTCCAGGCCAGTTCCCTGGCAAACAGGAAAGCTCTGAGGCTGAAAGGCAAGAGTTTTGCTTTGCTTCATTCTTTCCGGTTTCTCATCTGGCAATTCAACTTAGGGTGTCAGGTCCTAAAAGCATTGCTTTCTGGCTGATGGATTATCATATCCCAGTGTGGAAGAGGACAGTGTTGTGTGGATGCTGATGAACAGGCAAAGGCCAATCAGTTTTTTCTCTCAGCCCACCCTTATTCTTCTCTGGAACTTACAAGAGTTCATATTTTTCGTATTTTTTTATTGTAGCATAATAACAAGACGTACATTGAATCAAGTAAGGTTATCCGTGTTTGGTACTCTTCAGAATATAACCACACTTTGCATTTTACTTTTTCCTTTACATCTAGAAAGAAATACTAGATTTTCTAATTATACATTCCCTGTATTACTCTTTCACTGGTTTTGCTGCTAATTTTTGCAATGAGTTAGATGGAAATCACTTGTGATACTGCTTGCTGAAAATTATGCTGTAATTTTTCTTTTAAATTTATTTCTGTGTGTAGTTTTTCAACTATTTTTAAGTCCTTACAGTATTGGTGAAACTGTAGTTACCTAACTGAGCGCGTTTGTTGAACAGTTTTCTCTGGCAGAACCCTACATGCTTGTCTGACCTGTTGGACTGATGTTAAGTGGTTCTTGTCCAAATTTTGTCTTGAAAAAATCCGGTTGTGTCAGAAAAATTGTACTCCTCCATAAAAAAAAAAGAGTGAGCTGTTTCAGTTAACTTCAGTATGTCTGCATTTTTCTTTTGCTTTTCCTGATCTAGTGGAAGGTATCCATGCCCATGCAGGGGGTTTGGAACTAGGTGATCTTTAAGGTCAGTTCCAACCCAAGCCATTCTGTGATTCTATTAAATAAATTGCTTCCTACACAGACAGAAAGCCCTAAGGATGCAGCAGCCATAGTGACCTCTCAGTTCCCCAGAAACCCAGCCAGCAGCAGCGCTGGATCACTAGAGGGGATGTGACCCACTCATCTCCAGGGGAAGAGCAGTCATTGTCACATGCCATCCCCAAAAGAGGCAGCATTAACTGGATAAAAACACACTGTAGAAATGGAGCATTCCTACACCAGGCTATGAGTGTTGGGTTTCAATACTTTTATTTGGCAACATTCTATAATCTTGCTTATTTTAACAAAAGCTTTACAACTAATGCTTGGACAACTCTTTGATAGGCTTCACATTTGCACACCTATATGAGGCCAGCTTCTTAGCTCTGCTCAACATGTTGACTGGTTTGGGGTTTTTGGCTTAACAAGAAACACCCCACCCCTGAACAAGAAGGCAGTGGAGCGGGAAGGTTTAAAAGTATCTTATTATAGCTTGAATTTGTTTTATTTTTAATAATATGCTAGATTTTGTCTATACTTCTCTATTACTACCCCACAGTAAAAACATGAATGATTCTAAATGTCAGTTTTGCTTAAGATGAGCTTCACTTGTAATTAAGAAGTTAATTGAGAATAAAATCAAGTCTCATTTTTCCCACATAAACTATCCAGATGAAAAGTAATGGATGAAACCTTTCTCATTCACTAAGTGTGTTTCTGCTTATTGTAATTTATTTTCAAAGGATTCTTTTCAGTTCCTGCACAGTCTGGTCACAGATCAGACAAATGACTTTTAATTTATTTTTCTTTTAAGTGTGAATCAAATAACAGTGAACAAAACCTTGGTGTTTAGACTTTATTGCTGAATGAAGGTATTGCACTTTTATACACTTGTTGTGGCTAACCTTGTGCTAGTGGCTAACAGCACAGTTCACTAGCTAACATTGACTGTTTCCTTACCAGACTGGAAAATACCTTGCTTTTTCTGTTGTCAGAAGGGAGCATTCCACTTCTCCAGCCTGACACCTAAACATCAGGCAAATCATGATTTTGTTCCTAGATTTACACTAGCTCATTCCTTTTCACCAGCATTGCTTGCCTAGGATTAGGACAAGGAGAGTCCCTCTGACTTGTAATACCTGAATGTTCTGTTTATTTGTAGAAATACATGCAGGAGGCGAGGAGTTTAGGAAAAAATTTAAGGCAGCCCAAACTCTCAGACCTCTCTCCAGCTGTGATTGCACAGACCAACTGGAAATTTGTGGAAGGGTTACTGAAGGAATGTCGTGTGAAGGTAGGTCCTCCTCATCTACTCTCCCTTCACTTACACTGAGCCTACATAGCACCCACAAGTGGCATCCTCAAAGTCCTTCACAGCTGGAATGGTGTTGGTGTGTTGGTATACCAGCCTGCTGCAGGGTGGATATCCCTTTAGTGTTGTATCTTTCAACTGCTAGGAAAGAAAAGAACATGCTATCACTCTTCTTTTTATGCAGTCTAAGTTGGTGGAAACAGCAAAAAGAACAGGAAGGAGAATCAGCATTATCAGACGTCTTAGGGAGAATTTCCTTTAATTGTTCATATTTATATTTAGCCTAAACATAACTTGAGGGCTTGAGACCCTAAGTCAAAAGGGAAGCATTCAGCATGTGCAACTGTTGTGCATGTTGTTTATGCAGAGCAAATTAACTACAGCAGTTTCTAATGTTAAAGAAACTTGTGTAGCCATGGAAATAAAAAAAAAACTTTTTAATGTCTCTGTGTCAGTTGCAGTTGAAACTCTAATAGCTGTAACCAAGTACTGAGTAAGGCTGAAAATGTACCTAGTCTATATTCTGGTTTTGATAGTAGTCTATTATAGATCAGCAGTGTAGGTATAGGGCAATAGATAAAGGGTATAGAAATAGGACTGCATGGAGTAATCATGCAATTATTTTGATTATAATTCTTTTTTACTTACTACCTGTGTAAAGAGATTTAAAGTGTCTCTGGTCAGGCCATTAGCAGAGGTCTCTAGATTAAGCATGTTTAAGGAAAATAATCTGTAAATTCTTTTCCTTTTTGGATAATAATTTTAGAAACCTTTGGAGATTTTTTTTTTTCTTTCTTTTTTTTACAGACTAAACGTATGTTGGTAGAGAAGATGGGCCATGAAGCAGTCGAGCTGGGACATGGAGAAGCCAACATAACAGGTCTGGAGGAAAATACATTGATTGCTAGTCTCTGTGATCTGTTAGAAAGAATCTGGAGCCACGGTCTGCAGGTCAAGCAGGTTGGTAACTGGAAACTCGGGGCTTTGTGTGTACAGTACTCTAGCAAATACTAAATACCATCTCTACCTTTTAAGCTGCTACTCAGTGGTATCATTCCAGCATAAAGTGAGAGTAATCTTTGGGCTCACAGTCCCTGGTCTTGTAAGGGTTTGGGGTTTTGTTTGGGGCAGGTTGCTTTATTTTTCTTCTTTTAATTTGACAACTACCTATGGAGATACCAAACACCTACTTGACATCATCATTGCTTTCTTCTCTTTCAACCTTCACATAAGAAACCCAGGGACAGGACAAAGAAATGAAGTGGGAGGTATGACTGCTAGGGCAGTGGGATGGTCCTGTACTTTTCCTGAGGTTTCACGGCCCAAGAGAGAAGGATTGGTTGCCATTATGGAACTTTTTACCCACTGAAATGCCACCCCATTATTTTGCCATGTTCATTGGCCTGTTTTCTTTTGCCTGATCTATTTAAAGCTATGTACTACATATTCAATTTTCAGGGAAAATCTGCTTTGTGGTCCCATTTACTTCAGTACCAGGAGAGAGAAGAGAAGCAAGAGCATAGTGCAGAGTCTCCAGGTGAGTACTTGGCAAGTGACTCAACGAAGGGTCCATCACAGCAAATGAACTTGGGCCTTGAAGGAACTGTGCAACCACATGAAACCCATGCTGGATTTTCAGTGTATTTGCTTGCTAATACCACATTTACATTTTGAGACCCTTCATAATCACTGAAGATGCCGTGATGTCTGAACAAAATAGGTTGACATTGGAGGCAAAGGGACTACTTATTATCCCTGTCTTGAAAATCACTTGATGTCTGTTCGCTACCTGAATTCCCTTGTAATCAGCATTGAGTGAGGTGTGAGAAGCAGTGCTTCCACAGGAGATGATTTCTGAAGAAGCTGAGGGTGTGGAGCTGTGTCTAAGACAGCTGACGTTTTTCTTCTAGTGAGCAAAATCTGTCTCAAATCCCAGTGTGAATAACTCCATGTTTAACAAATCCTTAAATTGGTGGATGGTACAGTTCAGAAGTTGTGTAATTAATCTCTGTGCTCAGTTTAGGGCTTGGCCCTTTGCAGTCACTATATCACTTCTGTGTTGTGAGAGGTTGCTTTTCTGATGTTCTTGAGACCTCCCTGCCCAGTGGGTGCTGATGGATATTATAATAAAAGTCTCTGAACTTTAGTGGATCGTTTTCCAAGGATTCCCCAGTTGTCCCAGTCCTGCAGATGGGAACTTGTATGATCGGTCCTCAGAGACACATCTATGGACAAACTAGTCTTACTCATGAAAAGACTTTTTAATAAGCTTCAGTGACTAATGCACTGAGCAATCTGACTGGCAGGCACAAATTCCTGAGAGCAAAATGTGTCACCACAAAGCAGTTTGATCACAGCAGTGGAGCACAGAAATGCACGGCATTCTTAGCATCAAATATGCTACTGTAGCTTCATTCCATCACGTCCTTCTCAGTTGTGAGCTTTCTATAGACACGTATTGCTAATAAAACTGATTGCCATGCAGAATTATATTAATGTATTTCACATACACAAGGGGAAGCTAAATCTGCAGCTTCAGTGCTGGATTAAGGAAGGAATATATTAAGCATTTTTCATTTTGTCTTTTTCTACATTTCCAGGGTAGCGTTAATGATAATACACAGAAAGATTGCAGTTACCAGCCACTTAAGATTGTTTTGTAAAACAAATGCTTTGCAGACCATTACTGTAATTTTATGTTAACGTCATGTATTTTCTCCACCGCAGTTGCTGTTGGAACAGAAAGACGGAAGTCTGATACAGGAATTACTCTGCCTACTTTGAGGGTTTCCCTGATACAAGATATGAGGTACGCACTTTGTTTCCTAAAGCATTGATTGTGGTTTTAATTGTGTAGCATAAGGTAAAGATTCTCACTGCCTTTGGGTCTACAAAAGCTACAGAGAATTAAACCTTCTCCTCAGCCTTCATTAATATCTACAAAGTGTTGCCTTCTCATTTTGCAAAACTCTTTTGCATGTACACTTGATTTATTCTAGTAAAACATGAAAAACACACAAGCAGTATTGGTTGGGAGCCAATAGGAGTGAGGAGTGAAAAATGGTGGAGGCCCATGATAAAGGCCTCCTTGATAAAGCTGCTGCCAGGTCAGGCCACTGTTTGGACACCACTTGTCATGGCTAGGGATGGCAGTGAGGTAAAAGTGCCATGGAAAGTGGGGAGGAGTGATGCGATAATGCTCACCTGCACAAAGCTGCTAGCAAATGCTAGCAGTCTGTGAGACAACATGAGTATTGTTTCTTGTAATACAGTGTCCTTCAGCCACGTAAAATAGGGCAAAAAATCTGATGGTAAAAATAAGATTAGTTGTAGTTAATTCACAAAGCCATGGTTACAGTGATATGATCTTTGCTTTGTGTGTTGTCACATCAGAAAATTATGTATCTGTAATATCACACAGATTAGTCAGACTTCTGAAAGAAAATAACTGTACTTCCCACGTGCAGTGTGCAACCTGTTAGTCTGACGTTACGTAGTCTGAGTTGTGCTCTGATTCTGAAGAATGTGACATGCCACATAAGGCTAAAATTGCATGTGAAAGAGGGAGGAGGACTATATTGTGTAATGAAGAGTATAATGCCAAGAGGTCATTTTGAATGTGTGTCTGTCATTTTAGCATCCCTCTCATGGGACATGGCAGCTATTTACTTGATTCAGTCCTCTGAAGCTGATGGGCATGTAGAGGGTCAGGCTGAGGAAAGGATGAAGGAGGATCTGGAGCGGAAACTCATGTGCTGGGCAGGGATTCCTGACAGGAGCCCATGTTTGCTTGCTGCTGCATGCATGGGTTTTGTCTTCCATGTACTTCCACTTAAGAATGAAAGCCCAGCACAGATCTGAGCTCTCTTGCTTAAATTGAAAGAATATTTCTGCTGCTTTTTCAGAGAAACTCTGTTCTGCATCTGTGAAGAGTTTCTGTTCTGCTTTTCACAGAAGCAGAACATTACCTTTTATAATACCTTGGGTATTCGTGATTGTCTACAAACATGTCTGGTCATAGAAAATGCTGGGCAGATGGTGAGTTGAATTTGTCATCTATAATCTCGTGGCATACTTTCTTCTGCTTGGAATGAGTGTTGCTTGGTATTTGTTTGCACGCATAGATTCATGCTGAAGATAAAAGGATGGGTAACTATTAAATTGCCAGGGTTGCTGTGCTAACTGAACTAACGGCTAGAGGATTAAGCATTGCCTTAAGCACAGCTTGGTTTTGATGGCTCATGCAAGGTTATGTAAACAACAAAAGGAGTCACTCTCTGAATGTGCAATGGGCCTGTGCTGCAGGTAACTTGCTGTGTCCTCTGCCCCCCTCACAAATCCAGGCATCTTAGATGTGGTAAGGAAGATGCTCAAGATGTTTATTTTGGTTCTCTGCATGGAGAGTCTCTGCACAGGTGTGTCTGTGGGTATTGCCTTCAGCCTCTTCCCTGTATGAGGATCTGCAGCAGCTCTCTCACCCCTGCAGGCTCCTGCTGCAGCCTGCCTCCAGCATGGCCTCACCCCTCAGGCACATTGCTGAGCGTTCAGCTAGGGCCAATACAACTCCCTGAAACCTTTGGTCCAGCTGGGCCTTCCCCATGGGACAAGCTCTTCCTTTCTGCCAGCGCTTGCCTTCATGCCTGTGTCGTGCCTCCCCTTCCGCGTCGAGCTTGCAGGAGAGGATGTGGGCCCCAGGTGCTGGGCCCACAGCAGTCATGCTTAACCTGCTGCAGTTAAAAGAAGCTGTGTTAGAAAGGATCTGCTACCTACAAGGGACGAGCTAGTGGAGCTTGTTTCTGACTGCACTGCAATGGGGAACATGAACACCATCCTCAGGGCCATGGTGATATTGAGCAGCTGTAGCCTCTTCTGTCAGCACAGCTATTTGCAGAGGGTATGTCTCACCATTCCCCAGGCTTACATTTGACAGGGTAAATAGATTTTTCTTTATTGCTAATGGGATTAAAAGCAAGTCCCAACCTAGGGAGTTGCATGGAAATTGCTGTTCAGTACCCTGACAAGAAGAGTTTGCTGTGCAGTGGTGAGCAAACAGTGCTAATGCTTAGGTCACTGATAAAAATAGAGCTGTTCTGACTCTCAGAACTGAGGGTGAAATAAATTTGAGTTCCCGAATGCTCTGTTCTGTTAAACTCTGCTTTGCTGACACCAAGACTGATAACTGAATCTTTTTTATGTCTCTGTCAATCTGCATGGTTGCAGAGCCTTATTTTTCCCAAATGCACAGTTATTGCCAATCTGGTCAGAACCAGATATGGGTAATGAAGAGGTACAGAGCATGCATGGAATGAGGTTGAGTCCATCTGTATTTGAATCTTCTCACAGCAAAATAACATATTCTACTCAGTGTTTCATCTTAGATGTAATTCAAGCGGAGCACTGGGGGGGAAGGTGTGGGAGGGAGATGGTAGTCTGTGCTTTGATCTTCCCATCTCAAAAGACTTGAAATGTCTGAGTGTCTCAATGGATGTAGCTGAGTGTAGTGCGCATCCTGTTTCTCAAGGACTCATGTGCCCAGCTGTCTGGGCCAGAAGGTCGAGTGCTGGCTGCGAAGCTCTGAGCCAGGAAGGGCTTTCCAGAGCCAGGAGCAAGGTTCTCAGCAGGGATTCAGCTCACAGGCATTGCTGCTGACAGAGGGAGGCTGCCAAGCTTGCTTATAAAGGGCAAGGACTAGTACATGAGTGTAATGTGCCCTCCTGCATTTGTTTTACAGGTCAGAAAAAGTCAGTATTTCTCACCTGGTCCATCAAAGATCTATCTGTGTGTCATGTTAGGAAACAGGAGAAAGGTTTCTTTAAAAAGACATCTGGGTTTTTTCCTTTCTTTTTTTTTTTTAGGAGGAGTTTTAAGTAACCTAGGTTTTGCCACTGGCAATCCACCATTAATCTTATTGATTGTTCCTTCTTGATGGTTCTTCTGATATGTACATGAAGCACCGAGCTGTGTGACAGAGACACCTCAGCTTGGATTGCAAGGGTAGGACCTGCGTTTTTAGGATTAGGGTTAGGTCAGCCTGTAGAGAACGGTGTTGCTGAGCTATACCTGGTGTATCCCCTTCATTTGTGCACAGTGAGCTCTTATGTCTGGACAACACTAAGTTTCAGTTTGCAAATTTGCCCTCAAGGTCCTGGTCGTGTTATGGTAAAGAATCTCTATAAACAAGAGAGTGTTTTTCTCAAATAATACAGGGTCCAAATATAACACAAAGCACGTGTTTGGTGTAACAGATGGGGGAAAACACGAGACAGTGAGTCTATGCTAGTGATGTAAAAAGCATCAGTCACAGCATGACTTTGATGGATTTTCTTTGGAGTAAATATTGCCACATTCCCTAACACTCAGCAATGCGTGGAGAGCCTTCAAGGAAGATGCAGGAGTTGGAAAGTAAGTTACAACAGAGATAGTTAAGGCTCAGCTAGTGGTACTTGGAGCCTGCCACAAAGGTTTGGAGGGCTGAACTGCCTGTGCACTTAACATGTAAATTGCATGAAAATGAAGAAATTGCAGCCTTTTCTTTCCTCTATTGGAAAATGTTACTCTTGCTTTTGCTGTTTATTTAACCAGGTTGGGGGGTTTTGCAAGTAACTTCGCCCTGCCAAGGCAGTTCTATTCCTCCTCTAAAGCTCCCTGTGCTCTAAAATTGGGTTTCTGGCATTCTCCAAGCTGAAATAAGGGAAGGTTAAAAAAAGAAAAACAAAACCATAGAAGAAAGCCCCTATGGAACAGTTCCGCTTTCCTACAGACCAAGCATGAGGAGGGCTAGTCAGATTGTCACTTACATGAGGACCTCATATCCCTGAAAAAGTGATACTGCTTATGAGTGCCTGTCACTCAGTTGACCCCAGTCCTCTTTTTCTCAGGTTTTCCATTGCAGCTGCCATCAAGGGGTTTGTTAGAGCCTTCAGAGTAGATTGTGGTTTGAAGAAATGCTTAAGATATGTATTTGTCTTTTGTCCTCCCAAACATACCCATTTGTGTTGACAGCTCGGGGAGCAACTGTGACAATATAACTGGGTCTCACAAGGTAGCTGCTTGTTTAAAGTGTTAGCGGTGTCCATGAGGACTTCTACCTCAGGCAGTGCAAGGATGAGCAGATCTACCCCTGCTCACCTTGGCCAAACAAACACCAGGACACAGAGCAGCTGATACAGGCTGTAGTGTGCCCAGGTTGCACCATGCTGTGCCTGGGAAGGGCTGCCCATATCCCCAGGCCAGTGCTGCAGTGCAGGGCTCTGCAGGGCCCTGCTGAGTGTTTTCCAGTTCAGTTGCTGCATCACACTGGATGTTGCCATTTAAAGCATGTAGAATTTTTATGATTCATCTGTTATTATTATTTCTTTCCCACCTGTTTCAGGCATGTTCAGAACATGAGTGAAATAAAGACCGATGTGGGACGAGCCCGAGCCTGGATAAGGCTTTCTCTGGAGAAGAAGCTTTTGTCTCAGCACCTGAAGCAGCTGCTTTCCAACCAGGCTCTTGCCAAGTAAGCTGGCTCTTTTCTTCAAGCTTCACTTTCAGGTCTTCCCTGAGTGGTGTGTCAAGGTGCTGTGCAGGTTTGGGGTGCAGCCAGGCACCCTGTTTGGATACTGTGGATTCCAGCTAGAAGTGATTTAAAGGCAGAGGTTAGCTGGGAGAGAAGGTTCTGCCCGCCCAGCAGGGCAGAAGTCTGCTCACCTGCATGGAAAGCATCATAATTTTCAGGAAGGAGGCATTAGGTGCTGGTCAGATCAGGGTTTTGACCCAGGCCACTTTGCCACCCTGCAGTTACTGTATCTTGTGCAAATGAAGCAGCAGGCACAGGATTGCCCCTTTTCTCACAGCAGCCCTGTGTTAGGTTGGCTCACCCCCATCCTGACAGCCATGAGCTGGGTTAGAGGCCAGCTCTCCCAGCCACTCAGCTCTGCCTCCTCTTTCAAGAGCAGGCACTGTCCGTGTAGATGTTCCTTGACTTTGTTTTCTCAAAGCAATGCATTTAGAAAAAACAACCAAACAAACAAAACTGTATGAAAAGAAAACATCCTAACTCCTACATGCAGTTCTGGCTCTGTAATGAGTTACATGGCATGATTTATGCCAGAAGTTACCAAATGGGAAGAAAGAGGAGTAGGTAGAGACAATCTCCTCTTGGGTTATCCATTTAAAGGCATGGTGGCAGGCCTGTCTTTTCCTGAAGTTTCATCTACATCTATCTACCTCAGCAGCTTTTTGGGAGTCTGCTGCCTTCAGACTGCAGGCAGTGTTGCAAGCTCTGCCCTTTCTTGCAGCAGGACCAGGTTATCTCCTGGTGTGTCTTTGCACTGCTTTGGGCAGTTGGTGATGTACACTAGGTTCACTGAACTGAAAGAGTGTTGGGAGCGCTGCTGCTGCTTGGTGCCTTCCCTGGTTTGGTGCCTTTTGCTTAGTTTTCTCTGTTGCAGGATTGAGCAGGAGGAAGATTAGGTTATTAGACAAGGCTATTCCACAGTGGGATGATACAGGGAAGAAAGGAGGTTGCTGTATGTTGTTTCAGGTCTGCTGTGGTGGGTAGTGTTAGTTTACATCTGTGCTTTGCAGCAAAACCCAATCCTTTAATGAGATGAACCCTGTAGCCTTGCTATGGTAGCATGGAGCCAAGAGTGATCTGTAAAACACATGTGCAGCAAATGCTCCTGATGGATTTCCAGCAGCTTGTGTTAGCTGGAGAATCTCACTTTTCATGCCTCCCATTAAGATCAACTCTTCATTTGTTTCTACCAGGAAGCTTTACAAGCGTTACGCTTTCCTGCGCTGTGAAGAAGAACGGGAGCAGTTCTTGTATCACCTGCTCTCACTCAATGCTGTGGATTACTTCTGCTTCACAAGCGTCTTCACCACAATCAGTGAGTTGGAGAATCAATTTTTTTCCCCCTGAATAAAAATTAGTTGCTGTCATGATTTGTAAGGGATGATGGTGCTGGTGCTGGGGCCTGAGCTGACGAGCTCTTATCTGGAAACCTTGGTTGTTGCTGCCGGGCTCATGGGTGCTGGGTGTTGCTCTGAGAAACCAGCTGGAGAGCCAAGGTCATGTGGGAGTGCTATGGATAAAAGGATTGCACAAAGGAGAGCAATCAGCACAGAGTGCCCATGTAGGGCTTGATTTTTATCACCCAGTTGTATAGGCTCCTTGATCTTCCCTCCCAGACAAGTACATCCTAATGCTTCTTTCTGGCCTCTGCAGACTGAGGAGGTGGAAGTCTTGGAGGATGAAATACAAGGCACTTTGTGCTCTGATGTATATTTTAAATCTCTTTTTGTCTCTCTTTAAATGCCAAAAAGATTCCCTCTTCTTTCCTGTCTTGTAAGGAGAGCAGAGACTGGATTGAAGTCTGAGAATGAATCTTTGTCTCTCCAGCACCGGGCACTGCAGAGAAGGCAGGACCCCATTAAATGACCTAATTATTTGGACTGACTTGGCGGCCCGTACTCTTCATTTCGCTGCCTGCTCAGAGTGAAGTGAAGCAAGTTTTAGGTGGCTGTCAAAACAGTCACTCATTCTACTTTTTCCCCCCTTAAAGCAATAAATCCCCTCAGAACTAGCACAGCGCAAAGAGATTCACTCATCCTTGATTTACCTTACTTCTGTGGGGCATCCAGCTTGACAGCTTTCCCCTGTAGGATCAGTGCTTGGAATTTGAGGGTATTTTTTGAGTGCAATATCATTATATGGCACGCACAAAAAAGTAAAAAGTCTGCCTTATCTTCCCCAGTCAGAAAGGCAGCTTATGAAATATATGGAGGGTGAGCCTTGCAGAGCTAATGTGCAGTATTTGAGTCAAATCTGAATCAAAATGTGCAGTATTTGAGTCAAATCTGAATCCAGGCGGGTGGCAGTCCCTGTCCCTGTTGAGAATGTTATGGGTGGTGCAGATTTAAAAGCAAATTAATAATATATTTTTTTTTATATAATAACAACACGAAGCAGCAGCATAAAATCATAGAGTTAAAAAAATCACAGTCATAGAATGGTTTGAGTTAGAAGGGATCTTAAAGTTCATCCAGTTCCAATCCCCTGGCTTGGGCAGGGACACCTTCCACTAGACCACGTTGTTCAAAGCCCCCTCCAACCTGGCTTTGCACACTGCCAGGGATGAGGCAGCCATATACATGTATATATTATGACAATGGTGATGAACGGGTTTTGAACGGGTGGACGTCCACGGAGACAGATGGGGCTTGAGGCTTCGGCTGTGCCGTTGCCAGCCGTGCCGACATTTCTGACATTCCTTTTCCCCCCGTAACCTTTCCATTCAGCCGCTGAGCCCGCCGGGCCCCGCCGCAGCCGGGTTTACGCGTTAGCCCGTCAGCCCGCGGCCGGCCGGTCCCTGCGCCGGCCGGACTCTGCGGCAGAGGGAGGCCGGTTCTGCCGCGAGGCTGCAGCTCCACCGTGCGGCGGCACCGGGCCCCTCGCCGAGGCTGCTCGCGGTAACGGTGCCGGCGGGAGCTCCCCAAGAGCTGGGCCGCAGAGCCGCTGCTCCGGCTGTACTGCGGCTGCTGCTGTGACCCTCGGTGAGACGCACGCTGCGTGCTTAGTTCGGCCCCTGTGCGAGGCGTGCCCCTCGTCAGGTTGCTGAGGCATAGGACAAGATTTTAACCTTCAAGGGAGAGCCTGGAGAAGAGAAAGCTGCATGGAGACCTCAGAGCAGCCTTCCGGTATCTGAACTACAAGGACTCTTCATTAGAGACTGTAGTGATAGGACAAGGGCTAATGGGTTCAGACTTAAAACAGAGGAAGTTCAGGTTAGATATGAAGAAGTTCTTTACTGTGAGGGTGGTGAGGTACTGGAATGGGTTGCCCAGAGAAGTGATGAATGCTTCGTCCTTAGCAGCGTTCAAGGCCAGGTTGGATGGGACCTTGGGTGACATGGTCTAGTGGAAGGTGTCCCTGCCCAGGGCAAGGGGTTTGCAACTAGATGATCTTAAGGTCCCTTCTAACCCAAACTGTTCCATGATTCTATAAGAGATGTGGTTTACTCCAGAAATTGTGTTTACTGCAGGAGGGAAAAAGGTCAAGAATAACTTATTTCCCCCATTCTGTTCTTAGTGATCCCTTACAGGTCAGTGATAATTCCCATCAAAAAACTGAGCAATGCAATAACCACATCAAATCCATGGATATGTGTATCAGGGGAACTAGGAGATACAGGTGTAATGCAGATTCCTAAAAACCACCTAGAAATGACATTTGAGGTGAGTACTCACTCTTTGCATTTTACTTTTCAATTTGAAACATGCTTCCAAATAAGTGTTGATTTGCTGAGAGTTTATTTTCTTAAGATCACAGCATTTCAGATGCTGTCCAGGTTTTCAGGGTTGCTGTACGTACAGGTATGTACAGGCTAACAGCACTGCCTGATGATGCTAGATGAAAGTCGAGCATACACTTTTAACTACAGGCTTCACTGCTCTTCTTGTCCCAGCCCAGGCCTCCTCTTCTCACCTAGCCAATATATTTCTATGTCTCATTCCTTTCCACATTTCCTTGCCCAGTTTTCCCTTTCAGCTTTCATTTCTGACTCCTCCTTTCCCTTGCAAGCTGTTTTTACCCTCTTTCAATGCATCTTCCCAGTTAAGCATCACCCAGGTCCCTTTCTACCTCTGATGAGTCCCGAATTTCTTTTCCTCCTTGTCCAGCATTGCTGCTTTCCTTCCAACCAGCCCATTTAACCCCTGAGTTCTTCAACTTCCTGGCCTCAGGTGCTACCCCCTCAAGCCACAGACCTACCCACCATCACTGTGGGCTTCTTCTCCATGCTTGCTGTGGTTTTCTCTGCATTTAACTATACAGCGTTTCCCTCTGCTTTCCCACCCATCAGTTACAGGTTGGCTTAGTGCCACCCAAAGCAGCTGGTACCAGGAATTGAAGGGAAAGGCCTGTCAGGCTCCTGCAGCTCCAGGCTGCATGATGTCCAGTAAGGATTGATTTTTTTTTTTAGGAAAATCTGCTACTAAAATTAAAGTTGTGTCTTTGTGTCTGAAGAACAGTAGACTGTTCTTCAACAATAGTAAAAAGAAAACCTCTTGCCAAATATAGGTAGGTTTTGACAGGGAGAGGATATTTTCATGATACAATGGCTGCCTCTCAGATACCAGTATTTCATAGAAAAGATCCCCAGGCTTGTAGCAAGCAAAATGACATTTAGACATTTCTAAGCACCATAACAAGACTATTCTGGATTATTCCTTTGGCTGAAGTTTTCCAAAATACCAGCTTGAGCAGCCACCCACTATGGAAAATGTCAGCCCAAGCCCAAGCAACGAAAACCAAGGTCTTGAAAGGGAAATGTTTAGGTGACGTTAATAGATGTCGCTGCCAGCCACACCTACAATTACATCTTGCACTGGAATTCACAGTCCCTTGTTTTCCTTGTTCTGTATCTTTATTATAAGAGTCTCATGTTAGTGATTTTTATCTTGCCCAACAATAAGCGAATCAGTCTTTGAAAATAATAGAGGATCTAGGGACTGCTTCATAGTGTAGAGTGAGTCAAGTGAAGGTTAGTATGCTCCAAACGAACTTTTGAAAAGCTGTTTGTACTAAACATCTATTTCTTCTACAAAAGCATGCCTTTTTATCACCTTAGCTCAGAAATACTCAGTGAGTGTTCACAACAAACAAAGATTGTAATCTCTTCACAAGCTTTTAATAGTTTTATTTCAGGTTATTTCTTTTCTCCTGACTTAATTATTCTGCTTTTCAAAATGCTTTGCATGTTTGGTTGAAAATACTTGCTGTATAAATCAAAGGAAACTGAATAAAAACATACATTTGAGACCATATGTGTGCATGTGGTGGTGGTGGGGATGTGGTCTGTTGTTTTTTAAATTAAGTGAAAACTGTTATTCATTTCAGTGCCAGAACTTAGGGAAGCTGACGACCGTTCAGATTGGTCATGACAACTCAGGGCTACTGGCCAAGTGGCTGGTTGATTGTGTCATGGTCAGAAATGAAATAACAGGACACACGTACAAGTAAGCATCAAGTTTTAATTTTCTTTGTCTGAAATTCTTACTTGTTAAATCTAGAGAAAGCAAGAATGTTTTTCATCAGTTGACAGAGCACTGTGGGCTGATTTGGGTACCTGGTAAGGTTGGGCTGGTCTCCCCTACCCCAGTTCTCTCATTTCAGAAGCCCTAGTTGAAGTCAAATAATCTAATTGAGACATGAATGTAGGATTTTCTTTGCACCTCTCTGAGACAGGACAAACAGTATGGATACTGTTGAAGTGATTCATATGCTTGTGTCTAATAATTAAATCTCTCGATTTAAAGTAGTGTGGTAAATTGTGCGCAGATGAACTCTTTAAAACCCCAAGGGATGGATTTACAGTTTAGGGCAAATCTTTTATGTCTTTTTCATTTTAAAGATATTCAAATGTCTAAGTACTGTACAAATGTACAGAAAGTCAGATTGCAAGAAAATAAAAGGGTTTGATGATTTCTCGATCTTCTGTTGAGTTCATACCTCTTGTATTGAAATGATCTCCTAATTCACCATCGGTGTTACAAAGCATCTGGCTAAGCAGACTTAGGTTTTTTTATCTAAATGTAGATTTGAAAAGGTATAATTCAGAAAGATGAGCTCAGGGTTGGCCACAGGGGGAAAGTATAAGGAAACTGGGTACAAAGACTGGGGGTATGGACATGTTCATGGCTTTCATTAGGAATGTGGATTGGGTCAAAACATACAGCAGTAGAATGTGCTGTATGAGATTTGAGTATGAGGAAACGTCACAGCTTCAACTGGGTGGGAACTCTGTGAGGGAATTTAGTTGTTAATCATGACAGTATTTTTAAAGGCAGAATATCACTTCTGGTTGCAAGTCTAAAAGAACCTGGCAGAAATCAAGATGTGGACCATAAAATATACGTATGATGCTTTGTTGTCCTGGGCTTTCATGCACTCTTTGCATATTTCCCTTTTCCTAAGGATGATTGGTTCTGCAGGGAATGCTGCCTGTTGAGCTCTGGTTTGTGAAGTTTCTGGCTACAAAATATTTCCTGCCTGTTAGCAGTGTTCATTGGGCGCGAGCTGTTCCTCTAGCTTTGAGATGAAGCTAGAGTGCTTGCATGGCTGACCTGTGCTTGTCTTGGGTGTGTGTGGCAGGTTTCCCTGTGGGAGATGGCTGGGGAAAGGTGTTGATGATGGCAGCCTGGAGCGAATACTCATTGGAGAGCTGGTGTCCTCCACATCTGATGAAGAGCTGGGGAAGCAGTGCCGTACCCCACCGCAGCAGAAATCTCCTACCACAGCTCGACGGCTTAGCATCACTTCCCTCACAGGGAAGAACAACAGTAAGTCCTTTCTTTTCTCCCCGGGGCCCTAGACAAGGGGGTAACAATGGCTGAGAAATAAAGCTGTTGTGAACAGGATTGCTCCTATTAAAAAGAGGCTTGGTGCAGAGGAATAGCTGCAAGCTGATGAGTTTTTCCTGCCCTAGTTTGTGAGTCTGCAGCTTGTTCTGTGACTGCACACACTGCCTTTTTCAATGTCCCCCATTTGACAGTTGAGAGATAATAATCTCTTTCCTTGGAGCACAGAGATGTGAGATGAAGGAGGAGGAGGCAGCAGAATTTGCAGTAGCTGATGCTGCTCAGCTTCCCAGCTCACTTTGTAGTCAGTGGGAAGACAGTCCTCTCTCAAGGGCAGGTCAGAATTTGATATGGATACTGTGAACTGCCTTCTAGAGGAGCACATCTTTAGGGGGACCCTGGGGGACATCAACTTTGCATTCCTAAAATTAGCTTTTATGAGTAACTGTTGCTGGCTACTGCAGGGCATGGGACTGTAAGGGCCATGTGAGGCATTCTCCACTAAAGCAAACTGATGAGCACAGTGTAGATCCTGTTCATAAATCTGTCCAGCTCCTGTAAACCTAGAGGACATGACTGCTGAAATGTCAGGCTAGGAAAGAGTAGCCTTCAAGGGCAATGCAGTATCTAAAAGCCACCATGGGGCCACTGCAGCTTTTCACACGAGTCCGTATTAGCTGGAGAATTGGGCACCAGAGCATTTCCTTAGGTCTGAGAACACTAAGACCCAGTAATTCATTTGTCTTGAGAGCTAAATGAGGCTCTGTATTAGACCTGCCAAAGAATGTAGAGGTCCTGATGTACTAAAATGATGCTGAAATACTCCATGCTTCCAGAATAACAATTGTAAGGCCAGCTAATAGCAACCTACATATGTCTGAAAAATAAGAAAGGCCTTTTAGAAGAACCATGAAAATCTGGCAAGCATCTGCTTAAAATTAAGTTTTAAAAGTTCAGTCTGTTTTAATAAGAAAGTGAATGAGGACTGGATAATTTTCTGCAGGTAGGTAATTTTCAGCACAGGAAGATGAGATGGTTGCAGGTGGAAGCATAGCATGATTCAATGGTAGAGGCATACAGCTAAACAGATGCAGGGTAGGAATATGGCATACATTTTAACATAGAAGATAACTTATTCTTGGAACTATTAATAAGGAATATTCTCTCCCTGTGGTCCCCCACACTGGTACAATGACTAGAGATGTGTCCAGATACTTTTGGGGGCTCATTAAAACATTGTGGGTTCCAGTCAGAAATTAATGAGTGGTGGGTTTTCTGGCCTCGGTCATGTAGAAGTGAGCCAAATGACTGGGCTACAGCCTTTCAGCCCACATCTCCTCATGTTAGGGTTGCTGTACTCTATGTAATGAGAAAGAAGTGATTAACTCAAATAAAATATTTATCAAGCCAGATCCTTGGGTTGTGCATTTTTAAGTAAGGCAATTTATTTGACCATTCCAGGGTTGCTCATCAGTTGCTTGTAATAAGGCTCAGGATTACACAAGACAAATGATTGCCTGAACTCTGTTAAAGACAAAGAATAATTCCTGCAGTTCAAGCTATGTCATCATGAGAGTTTGATGAATGTTTTAAAGTTGGTATCTTCAGCTAGTATGCTCTCCATCATTCCACAGAACCTAATGCGGGACAGATCCAAGAGGGAATTGGGGAAGCTGTGAACAATATTGTGAAGCACTTTCACAAGCCAGAGAAAGAGGTACTTCCTATTTTTCATTACTTGCCTGGAACCTAAAATCCATGTAAATATTTTTATAATGAGAAATGGAACTGAAGTACTAGTGGAGACTATTAACCTTTAAATTTGAAGGTTCTGGCATGCAAACAAGACAAGTTGTACTTACAGACTCTCCCTTCCTCACAGAGAGGGAGCCTTACCATTCTGCTGTGTGGAGAGAATGGCCTGGTTGCAGCACTGGAGCAGGTCTTTCACCATGGATTCAAATCTGCTCGCATTTTTCATAAGAATGTCTTCATCTGGGATTTCATAGGTAAGGTGGTATGTGATTTGGAGGCAGAAGAAGAAAGATAAGTGCAAAATGACTACTCACACACAGATCTTGGGTTCTCATGAGCTAAGGTGTTATTTGTTCCTGCCTGGCACCTGTTCCAGGTTGCTTGAAGTCAATGAGAAACAAGATAGAAGATGAGAAATACTAAGCTCTGTATAAGGGATGAATGTGAATCTGGGCAGAACCTTAAGAGCACTTCAAATTCTAGTCATTTATTCATAACTGAATGTTCAAACAGCCAATTTTCTGCCCAGAAAGAATGGAGGTTGGGGTAGAGTAGCAGTTGCTGTCAGGGGGAGACGTAGGAAAGGGCAGGGAGGCAAAGGTTTATATTTGTAGTTGTTTGTGAGAACTCTCCTAATCACTACATTGGTCTTCTGTGATGCTTATCTGTATGCCTACATTGTGGTAATTTAAGATGTACTTACTCCCTTAAAACATACAAGTTGAGATACTTAGCCTGAGGGTAAGTGCTTACTCAGAAAAGATGAAAAATCAAAGCTGATGGTATCATTCAGAAAGAAACCACTGACAGGTACTCTGGTGCAACTCCCTGATGTTACCTAACTGTATTAGACATCAACCAGTCCGATGACTGCTGCTATGTAGCAAAGGTGGAGATCATCACCTACCTATGTTCTTGAGAGTGAGGTATCTGTATATAAACTGTCTCAGCAAGTTGTTTTTCTGAGGATTCCCTTGTCTAATTCTATGTCTCAATGAAGTTACATCTCACTGGGTTCTGATTTTCTCCCTACCACAGAGAAAGCTGTTGCTTATTTTGAAACCAGTGACCAGATTGGAGATAATGAGGAGGCCCTTTTGCTTCAGAGATCTTCATGCAAAACCTTCTGTCATTATGTGAATGCCATCAATACTGCTCCAAGGAACATTGGAAAGGATGGCAAATTCCAGATTCTGGTTTGCCTGGGGACAAGGTACCTAATTGCTCTTTGATATATGTGTCCTCTTGCATTAGACTAGAAGAATATTTTTACACCATTGTTATTACCTTTAGTTTTCCATTTTAAGACATCTCACACCCTTCTATTACCCAGTACCTATTAAAGCTGCTTTAGTACTACGTGAAAAATTGGATCAAAGAAGCAGTGTCTAAACTGCTAAAAATGTTTTGAGCTCTTTTATAACTGTTAGCTTGACAGTCATAGGTATGAAGTCTGTCTTGAAACTGTATTTTTGATGAAGTGATGGCTATGTGAATGCAAAATTCCCTTGCAAGAGCTGGTGCATTTCTAAAGCTTCATTAAATCACTTTGCCTATGAAAATGGGATGTCTGTTACAATTTTGACAAAACTATTCTAGTTCAGTCTTTCCTTGCTTTCTGTCTTGCACTTGGGGAGGGAGGTGGGGCTTGGTTATATTTTGGACGGTGGAAGTTGTATGTCTAGAAATAAGTACCATTTTTGTCCTGTCTGTCTGGGTATGTGGGAAATCAGTGGGAAAACAGTCTATTGATTTTGCATGAGCTTTATTTTCTCACTTCCCGATCTGAAAATGTTGCTGAATTCTTCCAAAAGCAATTGTCCAGTTCTGCTGATATCCTTCTATCTTCGTTCCTACAGTATGCTCAGCTATACAAGTATACATGTGTTCCTACATGTATATTCATCCAGTACTCATTTAATATACATGTATATTCATTCAATATACTTGTATTCCTACATGTATGTTCAGCTCGCTGTGTTTTATTAACAAAATCAAGGGTTATGATTACAAAGGAAGCTTCTATGTGGAAACAACATGTATCACCCTCAAAAAGAGCCTGCATATTCTGAGTTGTGTTCTTGGAGAATTTATGTTTGAGATCTGTTTACTTGGTGCTAAAATAATTCTCTTCATCCTCTTCGCAGGGACCACTTGCTCTCTCAGTGGATCCCATTGCTGGCAGAATGCCCGCCCATTACAAGGATGTATGAGGAGAATGCTCTCCTACGGGACCGCATGACTGTCAACTCCCTTATCCGAGTCCTACAGACATTGCAAGATTTCAATATCATCCTAGAAGGATCTCTCATTAAAGGAGTGGATGTTTAGCATGGCTTTGCTGAGAACTTCATTATTCCTTTCCCAAGCAAGCAAACCACAATTGGAGACCTGTCAGGACTTGAACACGATGGTAGTGCACCACTGTAAGGCAAAGCTGCCAGTTGAAATGGGAGTGGGAAGCCCAGTTTGTGCCTGATGGGGACTGTCCTCTAAAGCTGCAGAAAGCTAAGATGCAGTGTTGTAGTTTATTTGAAACAGAAATTTAGTATAAAATAGAGTATTTTCATGTGTTAGATGTGTGTAAATATGCTATCTTCTTTAAGAAATTATACTACTCTAAGAAATTTTTCTTAGACTGAATGTTCTTGTTCTGACTATGAGTAGCTTAAACCCAGGGAAGGACTGGGGGGAGGGAAGGACCGAGGCGGGAAGGGATGCCGCTACTTGCTTGCAAGGAAGAAGCCAATCAATGTGTAAATACAGTGCAAACTCAGCAGGGCTTTTTTCAGGTATTGCAAATTAATACAGCAAATATCCTTATGTAGCCATTGTGATTGTCTCACTCTTGGAAATGTTGTAAGCATATATGCTGTCTTACCCTACTGTACATGGGCTCTCTTAGTTCTTTGTTTGTTCAAAGACTCAAGCCATTCCGTGCATGGAAGTTGTGAGTCGTCATGTTTTTTTTCTGTTAGGTTTTATGTGTCACTTCTGTTGATCTCCAAAAAGGGAGACAAGTGTTGAAACGCTTGAACACTGGCGAGGAGGACTGCTGTCAGCCTCAGAGCCTGAGAGTATGAGAGACCTGTGTAAGGGGTGCTGCTGCAGCCTGAGATGGGAAACGATGGCTTGCTTGAGTCGCTTGGTGTATCCCTTGCCTATCTAGATATTCAGATGATTCTCCCTCGCCCTCAGCCAGTTTGTGTTGTGGATGACTTCTTTTTTCCCCATGTTGAGGAATTTGGTTCATACCAAATTCTTGCTGTACTTGAGAATAATCATTGCTGTAGAGCCACAAACATGGATGTTGCTGTGCTACTGAACTGTATCAGCTGGTTTTGAAATGCTGACAGATTATGAGTCTTCCTTTATCCCACACAATAAGTGTTCCTAGGAAGTACAGGGATCTTTGATTGATACTCTTTCTTTTTTCCTTTTTTTTCCCCTAGATTATTAAAAAAAAAAAAAAAAATGGAGGGGGAAGAAAGCAAAAGGAGGGGAAAAAAGAATCTTACTTTTGTATTTTGTGGCTCTCTCTTTCCAGTTAATGTGTTACTAATACAGTGAGTATATAGAGATACAGCTCTTGAAGAGGAACTGGGATCAACTGAAATCCTGTATACTAAAAATTTAACAAGAGATTACATTAAAATCATCTTGAGGATACCATGCAGCAAATGCAGAGTATGTTTTCTGTCTTATGGATAGGAGTTGGAAGGATCTGAGGGCATAGCTGGCTTCATCTGGTTTTAGGTTTTGGAGCTTAGTTTAAATATAGGTGTTTGTTTCACTTGTTTATTCCCATTTTGTCAGTGGATTTCTGTGGATGTCTCACTGTCAGCTGTGGATTGGGAAAGGCCCTAACTGGTATTGTGAGGTTATTGCCTTGTGCTGTGCTCTCAAGTGGCATTAGGAGGGGAGTGTTGGGCAGTAGCAGGTCTCGATATGGTTTGCACGTGCTGGAGAGAGGAATAAGAGCTAAGAAAAAGGAAAGAGGAAGAAAATTAGGGTTTGCTTTCTCCCCTGCCTTTTGCCAAGCTTCTCTGTTTTCCTGTGATCCTTCTGCTGTCCAGTTCTTACAACAACACTTGCTTTAGTGTAAAAGTTTCACGTCATATTCCCAGCCAGAAGAAAACTCTTATGTGACTTTATTTCATTAACAGGGAGAGGTTTATGCTATAGAAGGGGTTTTTATTTTTAAGAAAGAAGAAAACAACACTGTCAGGGAGTCATTGACTTTTATGAGGGTTCCACTTTTTAATAACCGTTCTTTCCGCCTGGGCTTGTACTTCCTTAAACTGACTAAACTCATCCCAAATACTGTAGACAGCACTGCCATGTCACTGCTGTGGGTGTGAGTAACTAACGTAAAGGCTGTGAATGGTGTCATGAGATAGAAGCCAGAGCCCACGGATGTGCGACATCTCTCTTGCATTTCCAGAAATGTGAAATTTGAGGTGTGAGGCTTTTCAGGGTGGCCAGGCAATTCTGCTTAAAGTCAGCAGAAGATACATGACAACCCTTCAGCAGCAACTGAAAATGTGTCCCTAATACTTAACTCTATCAATAAATTACACATTTAGCACCAGAAACCATGTGGCAGCATTATTTGGTAATGACTACTTAGGATGTTTTGATTTCTATTGCAACTCAGGCCTTTTATGTCTAATTACTGCTATACATGATTTTCTTCAAGCCCAAACCAGTCTAAGTGACTTTCATTTTACTGAAATAACAACCTCTTTAGTCCTTGGATTTCTTTGCAGCATCATCTGCATTTGCTAGCTAGATACTTCTCAAAAGTACACTGCTGCATACTTCTGTAAAGACTATGACTTCAGCAGTCGTAACAGTCATCCGACATGATTCAGTTCAAGTGCAAGCAGGATAAAGTAGAAATACGGGCACCTCTAAAGGTCAAGCATAGATGAATAAACCACACACAGAGAAAAGGGCAATAACTAAATAAAGTGTTTCTTAAGTTAAAACAAGTCAAAACCTGAGAAATTTTCAAATTCAAAACAGGACCTTCCCCCCTTTCAAGCTACATTAAGGAACCTTTAGCCCTTTAACACAACTTCACGTTGGCTTTTTCAGCAAGTATTGACTTGTTTGGTTTTTTCAGGTTTCCCATCATTTGCAATAAAAATTATGTATGCCTAATATTTCCCTGTAGGCAATAAAACACCCTAAGATATGTCGAAAGGGGCAGAGCTGAGTGCCTCAGATTCCTGGAAGACTTCTTATTTGACAACTTTGGAAGTACGATTCTTTGTAGTGAATTTTTATTCTACCCTGTATTTTTTTCCTTAGTAGACCACTTTTGTTTCTTGGAAACCATGAGTTTTCTTCTCTAAGGTTTATAGATACCATTCTACCCATTAGGATGGTGAGAAACCCATCAGGATTCTTCTAAGCTAACACAGTTTTTACTTCAGTGTTAAAGCACCTTCTGTGGTTGAGAAAGGGAAACTTGGAAAAGACCAAAGCTATCTGGTGTCTGCTTTTTTTTAAAGAAGAAAAAATTCTATCCAGTACCCATCTGCAGGTGTCTGAGTTTGCATCGTCCTGTTATACTAACATCCAGCATGATAACTTGAGGGAGTCAAAGAATCAAATGCCTCACTGTGTACAAAATGTGTATTTATAATTCTCTGAAATGAATGAAATTCTACTGTTTAGTGAGAAATCTGCTCATGTTTATTCCGAGTTGGTTTGTGTAATTAGATATCATTGTTCAAAAATGTCTTTTTAGAAGGGTTGCGCAATGGCATATTTGAGAAAATTCCTCTTTTCAGTCAAGTGAAGGTGCGCATCTTAAGGGAAAATATTGTATGTTACACTTGAAATGTACAAATGTGCCCTGTATAGCTTAAAATGATCCTTACATGTCTCCATTAAGTATATTTTGTCTTTACATTATTACTAACTGAATAAGAACTGGATAATTTTCAAGACGACATGAGTAAAAGTATTGTTATATCAAGCACTTTAACATACATACCACAAACTGACATGAGTTTTTCAGGTTTTGAAGTACATTGAAATACAGCTTTTCATGCTAGTCCTTTACAAATAAAACTGTGAGAACAAAGGTTGGTGTCATTTTCTCCTTGCAGATGAACTGAGAGATTCGATTCTCAGACTGAAGAGCTGAACCGAGGCTCCTGGCAGTGGGAACTTGCTGAAGCAAAGAAGGAGAAAGGGAGTGCGAGGGTCTGCTCTCAAAACCTGCCCTTCTGCCTCCCCTGGCACAAAGTCTGACTGTGCCAAGCCTGACCAGCCCTCCATTTTCAAGGCTTAGGTGGAAAGTGTGGCTGATCAAAGGGAAGAATTGGGATTGCAGTGAAGTTTAGCTCTTTCCAGGGTGGCATTTGCTAGGCAGCCTGGGTTGCTCTCCCTTAGTATCTGCATGGGGAAGAGTGGAGAGAAGGGGGTGGGATCCTATTGGCAGCCAAATGGGAAGTGTGAGATTAACTGCCGCTGAGGGTCTCTTTCCTCTCTTGACATGAGTTGCTCTGATATTTAAACTCAGGGTTAAAAAGCTGGAGTGAAACTCATGCCCTCCAGCCTGTCAGTTGGCATGTCCCATAAGAGGAGAAGTCGATACAGAAGAGATGGGTGCCTGCAACAAGAAGGTGCAAAAGAATGGTAGTGAAATGCCCTGCTTGGTAATTACAGGTTTTTCTAAGCTGGACTGGATTTTCAGAAATCCTCCCCATGTTCTAGTTCTGCTGCAATTGGCAAAAATATGAGAATTTTTGAAACCAGCACTGTTGAAATACAGTTCCTTGTATGTGTGTGTATATAGTGTGTGTGAAGTGGGCCATGTCTGTTCATTCATTTTAACTCTTGGTTTTGAAAAGGCTTAAGAGAGGACTGAAGGTCTCAGAGTCTGGGACCATGTATGTGGGAATCCTGAAATATGTAATTTCATGATACTGATGTTTAGCAACAGTGTAGCAGCAAAATTATAGGATCCCATAAATGTGAATAAAATCCGTAGAGCTGCTTGTGGTCAAATTTCAATAGGAGGAGTGGCCACATGCAGCACACCTCCTTACTTAATGTGTTACGCTTAAGTATGTAAATTTGAGATAGTGGGATCTGGCATCTTAAAGGCAGTAAGTACTTGAAGTAACACAGGACTGAACTTGTCCAGATGAGGAAGTGCAAATAACTTCCTCTCCACTGCGCTGTCATTAATGCGGTCTGGGAACACTACAATGTTTTCTGCAAAGGGTAGGTAGAAGAAAACGGAGAAAACTTGCACAGGTAGAAGTTGAGACAACTCACCCATCTAGTTTGTTCCTTTCCAGCATTTCAGGTGAGCTTGTTGGAAAAAAATTATGCTCAGGTTAAGAGCAGAGCTGCTTCCCTGTCTGTCACCCCATCAGCTCAGGGATTGAGGCTCCTGTGATTGCAGTCAGGGAGCATTTAATTGCTGACGTTCCTGTTTTCTCTTGTGTTGTTCCATCAGACACTATAAGCTGGTTTGAGCTCAGCACACGATGTGAAGGGAATGGAAAAATTTCTGTACAGGTCTGCTATCTCGTGGCTGGTTAAGGTAAACTGTCTGCTGAAGCCACTGCACAGCTGATTCGTCAGTGGAAAGCTGTAGATCTGCAGGAAGGCTTGACACTGTAATAGGCCCACCTGTATTCCCTGCAGACCTCACAGGGCATCTTGGCTTCTCTGAAAGAGCTACTTCTCTCAGAAGAGTATGTGACCAGACAAATTATTTTCTCCTTTAACCAAACCCACCTTTGTCTCGAAGGGAGAAGCAGGAGGAAACACAGCCAAAACCTTCCTGATCCTTACCCAGGCCATATTTATCATAAGATGTTGCTGTAAAGGACCTCATTGTTGTGTGATCTGGTGACAATCTTGTTATCATTCAAGAAGTAATTCAGTAGGATCCATAAATGTCAAATAATCGTGGTTTATATCATAAAGACTCAAGTGTTCATACCAGGTGCTCTGAGTCATAATCTGTAAGATACTCTTCCTCTTACTTCTAGAGGTTATCTAAGTCTCATGCAAGTCTATATGTCTTGCTCAAAGGGTAAACATAGAAGATAGCCAACACAATTCTTTGTGGAAAATAACAGTCCTTTGCCCAATACAGACCTGTTAATTTTATATTCTCTGAATGATCCATTTACTTTTAGACCTGGCCAGAGCAGCAAGTTAAAATGGGTCAATCGTAGAGTGGTCTGTTCCACCCACAAGTGAAGCGAACAATTGAGTTTTATTTGCAAAGTGCATTTGGCAGCACTGTGCAGCAGATGTAATTCCCAAGGACCTCAAGCGCTTACCCCAGGGCATCTATTCTCCCAGCGAGAGACAGGCATAGAGAATGCAAGATGCATCCCAATCTTCACACAGTACATTCAGTGCCAGATTCTCTCCCACTCCCACAGCCAGGTGATACAAGCCTAAACTAAAATAAACTCCTTCCTCAGTAGCAGCCAGATGTTAGTTTTGATGCTGTGCAATCCTTGTCTTCTCCTGCTTTCAACAAGAGGATTTCATAAAGCCTGGTGTTAGCCTGGGGAAGCCTTTTTCCTTGCCCTGGCTCTGCAGCCAGAGAGGAGAGATGGGCTCCTTCAGTAGGCCTTGCAAGAAGAAACCTCACTTGGCTGCTTTTAATTATGACTAGAGAAGTCCAGCAGAGGCAGCTTGCGGAGGCTAAGCTAGCATTAATGTTTATGATTATCCCTCCCAGCACTGTCCTCCCATGCTGAATTCATTTCTTCAAAGGCATTCGAGCGATATATTGGCATGTTCTTGACACATCAAAAAACAAAGAGTTTACAAGAGCAAAATCTAAGGGTGATGGACAGAGGTAGTTGTAATTTTTACAATATATTAATAATTTAGCTACAAAGACAAGTTCCTTATCTGTCTTACAGAGGCACAGGATAGAGATCAGAAAATGTGGCTTCGTTTCTAGGTCTCCCTGACTTCCACCAAGGCCTTTTAGCAATTTGCTTATGGCATATTCCATTTTGCAGCCAGAGGGCTGAGGTACAGAGTGGTGGAACTTTGCTTCAGCCAGTCTCTGCCTTGCCAATCTAGGCTGTTCAGCCTTTGGGTTAGAAACTGCTCATCCAGAGTCCATTGGTGTGTGACCGAGAGCAGCTTTTCAATGTTACTGTGACAGAAGTACCCTAAGGTCTCATCTGTGGTTAATTCCAGTTTAAAGGCATTGGTACAACCTGTTGATTTGTGTTGTTGTGGGTAAGTCTGTCTAGCTGTGTACGGTTAGAGAGTTTTGTAATTGTTAGGACAGAAGAACGGGCTTTCTTCTTACTTAACTACAATACAGTGATTATGGTTACTATCTGCAACGTGGTTAAGCACTTCAGAAATGCATACAAATACTTGTTTTGCTGTTGTGTGAGGATGGCAACTAATTCCCTACCAAAAGGGAGGAACAAACAACAGCTGCTTTGCAAGAGCAGTTCTCTACTGCTTTTCATCTTCAGGCCAAAGCTCTTCCATTAACATCAAGTTAATCTTGTGCCGTCTCTGCCCCGCAACCTGTGTCTGCTCATTGCAAGCTCAAATAAACCATCACTCACACCAGAAAATGCATGGTGAAGGACAAACAAAGTTCTAGCAAGAGATTCCCATAGTAGTCAGAAATAGTCAGTAGAAATGAGAATCATCTTTGTTGTTGGTTGTTTAGGGTTTGCTTTGGTTTTGTTGTTTGGTTGTTTTTTTTTAAGGCATGGAATTAATTTTAAATTAACTGGGAAGGCAGTCCAAAGACTGTGCTTTTGTTCTTGAGATGGCTGTGAACTCTTCCACTGAGTGTCCTTAGCCTGTTTCTTCCACTCTGTGCTCTCACCTGAATTCAGTTTACCTGCTTGCACGTATGCAGCTTTTGAACTGTCATTATCCCATGGGATAAAGAGGATGTGCTCTAAATCATACCATGCAGTATGAATCCACCAGCTTGGAATTAGTGTGGCTATTGGCTTGCCTGAGATCTAAACATCTTGCAGATGGTCTGTGGTTCCTGACTGTATAAATAGTACCGAGCTGGCTCAAACTGGGTGGGGTGCACAGGACAGCTGCCCCCGCCACCACCACCAAGATGACTTTCAGAAGAACTGCATTCAGGGAGTGTAAGTGGAAGCATCACCCCATGCCTCTACCCAGCCTTCATGTTCTTAAAACTGTGGAAAAGGTTTGCACTCATGGTAACAGGAACACAGGAGAACTAGGAAAAACTTGCAGACCAGAGAAGCTATTTAATTCACTTTGTTAAAAGAGAATTTTGAATGTCAGCAGGAATTTGTGCTAGACAGGGGTAGTGTGGGTAGCTGTGATCAGTGAGAAATAGGATAGCTGTTCTGGGCTTAGTCATTCGTGTTTAACTGGCACAATGCTGAGAAGGGAGGAATGAACTAGCGGATCTTCAGTGGAAATGTGTGCCCTAGGAAGTGCAAATACAAGCTGATCCACCACAGCTTACTGAAGTCAGTGGAAGTTCCTAAAACCGACGAGTTTAGACAGGCATTCATGAGCACTATAGTCTACTAAGCTACTAGTTTGTGCACAGAAGAGAAGCAGCTCTCTCTTGGGAAAATAATAAAGTGACTATTGCTGCTTCCGTCTCATAATGTTTAAGCCAGTCTCACTCTTACACATAAGAGGTTGCTTCTAGGTGATCTCAGCATTTTAAGTAGAAAAGTTTATCTCTGTCAGAGGCCAGGCTTGTGCTAATGAAGATACTCAAAAGCCTTGTGTTCATCTCTTCAAGATCTTTGGTTAAGATCCTGGAAGAGAGTAGTGGCAATAGTGTCTGACAAGCAGGAGATTGAATCTGAAGACTGCCAGTGTGGATTCCAGGTAGAGCTGTGAACAGTATGGATTGTCTTGCCACTATGTGCCAGATGTCCTGGATAGATCCTACCCAGCCCACTATCAGCGATCATGTTTGTAGGCAAATCTGAGATTCCATTGTCCATGGTAAAGCAGCAACTAGCAGTACAAGGCAACAGTATAGGCATGCTCCTTTTCTCCCATCCACCACCACTCCCAGCTGTAGTTACCCAGAAGCACTTTGCCAAGTAGAGCCTG